CCTTCCTTCAGGAGGCAGCGCGGCGGGGGGGGCATCCTGCTCACTGCCCCCTGTGCAGATTAAGGAGGAGGCTCTGGACGATGCTGAGGAGCCCGAGAGCCCCCCTCCCCCACCCAGGAGCCCATCCCCTGAGCCCACCGTGGTGGACACCCCCAGCCATGCCAGCCAGTCCGCCAGGTACACGTTCGTCGGGACCTGGGCATGGCAGGCTGGGCAGGTGGGGTTCTGGTGGGAGGCCGGACAGGGGAAACCTGGGAGAGATGTGGCCTTCTTGGACCCCAGCACTAGTTACGGCCTTCTTAGGTTTTACAAACACCTGGACCGGGGGTACAACTCATGTGCGCGGACAGACCTGTACTTCATGCCGCTGGCTGGATCCAAGCTGGCCAAGAAGAGGGAGGAGGCCATTGAGAAGGCCAAGCGGGAGGCTGAGCAGAAGGCCCGAGAAGAGCGGGAGCGGGAGAAGGAGAAGGAGAAGGAGCGTGAACGGGAGCGAGAGCGCGAGCGGGAGGCAGAGCGGGCAGCCGTGAGTCCTAGGCGGGCGCTGGTGCCGGGTGGGCTCTGTCCAAGGCTACCTGGCTGACTCAGCAGCTGGAGGCCTGGGTTCTGTTCACACCCTCTCCTCTGCTGACCCCAGGCAGTGATGGGCATCTCCTGCCTGAGGCCTTCAAAATAAGGGCCTGCTCTTCCCCTGTAGCCTACATAACTTGAAGGCGCCAGAAGGAAACATGACCAGGAAGGAGACGCAGCACCGGGGCAAGCTGGCCTTGTAGGGTTCCCCCGACACCTGTTTCTAGGGTGGGAGGAAGGGTAGCCAACTGCAAAATGGCATGAAGGCCCCGCAGTGAGGCTCTCAGTCTGCTGGGGGCACGCGTGCACACACGTGCGCGCACACACACACACCCCCCAACTCTCACTCACAGACTCAAACCCACCCTCACACGTTACAGGAACGGAGCTATCAGGGGCATGAGAAGTGAGGCTCACAGCAGGGTCTGGTCTGCATACTGGGGCGAGGTCCCCATGTTGGGGTGGAAGGGCTAAGTTGGCCTCGGTACGGGATGGGGACAGGGTTGGTCCCGCTTCACCGTGCGCCATCATGGCCCCAGCCCCTGGCTGGCATGCCCCCACACCCTCCTTTCCTTCAGCAGAAGGCATCCAGTTCGGCTCACGAAGGCCGCCTCAGCGACCCCCAGCTTGGCGGCCCCGGCCACATGCGGCCGTCCTTCGAGCCGCCGCCCACCACCATCGCCGCCGTGCCCCCATACATCGGGCCCGACACTCCTGCCCTTCGGACTCTGAGCGAGTATGCCCGGCCCCACGTCATGTCGCCCACCAACCGCAACCACCCCTTCTACATGCCCCTCAACCCCACCGACCCCCTGCTGGCTTACCACATGCCCGGTCTCTACAACGTGGACCCTACCATCCGGGAGCGGGAGCTCCGGGAACGGGAGCTCCGGGAGCGCGAGATTCGGGAGCGGGAGCTGCGCGAGCGCATGAAGCCGGGCTTCGAGGTGAAGCCCCCGGAGCTGGATCCCCTGCACCCGGCCACCAACCCCATGGAGCACTTTGCGCGGCATAGCGCGCTCACCATCCCCCCAACTGCCGGTCCCCACCCCTTCGCGTCCTTCCACCCGGGCCTGAACCCCCTGGAGCGGGAGAGACTGGCCCTGGCGGGCCCCCAGCTACGGCCCGAGATGAGCTACCCTGACAGACTGGCGGCCGAGCGCATCCATGCAGAGCGCATGGCGTCGCTGACCAGCGACCCCCTGGCCCGGCTGCAGATGTTCAACGTGACTCCTCACCACCACCAGCACTCGCACATCCACTCCCACCTCCACCTCCACCAGCAGGACCCCCTGCACCAAGGTGGGTGCCCAGCCAGCCAGGGTGGGCACCAGGGGACAGGGCTTGAGCAGGAGCCGTCACCATCCAGGAGCAAAAAGTGCCCCTTTCCGGACAAGTTCCTAGTACCCAGCATATCTTAGTGCACCTGGCATCCTCCTGGCCAGGCTTGGCCTTGTCACAGGCAGCTGTTGTCCCCTGCAGCCCCTCAGGTCCCCAAAGGCTGCAGCCTCCTGAGTAGAACTGAAGTCTTGACCCTGTGCTCACTGGGCGTGGTGAGGGTAGCAAGGCAGGGTCTTGTGGCCCCTGGAGCCACGGAAGGTCCAGGTGGAGGCATTGGGCTCCCTGGGGACACTGAGGTGTCGCTTAGTGAGAAAGGGACAGTCCTCTTTTTCCCGTGGAGGGCAGGGCAGGGCTCCTGCCACCTTTGAGTGCTCCAAACTGACCACCTGGCCAGAGTGCCCATTCCTCTGGGAACAGGAATGCCTGAAGCCAGCCAGCTGGTCTGGGGCGGAGGCAGGCACCGCTCGTCTTCACCCTCTGCAGCCCAGCAGATGGAGACAGGCGAGGGTGACCTGGCTGTGCTCACCAGGAGGTGGGTGTGGCTGTCTGTGGGACCAGGGCCTGTCTAGAGTTCCCGGGACACAGCCTACATGCAGAAGAGGGCACGTGCTGTGCAGGAGGATGCCTGCTAGAGCAGGGCTAAAGAGAGAAAGGGCGCCACCTTGCTTGGGACAGCGAGTGCCTCTTCTGCCTGTGTGCCGCGTCCTGACCATGGGAGGGAGCTCACCATCAGGGGCCCAACCCCTGTGACTCTGACGTGACCAGTGAGAATAGGCGATATTCACTCATTCGTGCATCATTCATTCCACAAGTGTTTACTGAATGGGAAGTGCCAGACATGATTGGTGTAGGTGTTCACACAATCCCGCCCACATTTCCCACAAAGTAGGGGGACACAGTCTGGATACAGGCCAGGTGTGGAGAGTGGTCAGTGCCTGTTTGGAGACAAATAAGTCCAGGAGAGGGGACAAGGAGAGCTGGGCGGCATTGCAGTTTCAGAGAGACTGTCAGGAAAGGCTCAACACGGAGGCAGCTCTGAGCAGAGACTTGAAGGAGGGGAAGGGTGAGGCGTGGGAAATCCAGGGAGGAGCAGCTGTGGGCCCACTTCCCCCGCCAAGGTGCCCGGGGTGGCACGGCCGGGGGGCCTGTGCCGACATCCCTGCAAGCCGTCTGGTGGTCTGAGCTGGGGTGGTGGGTGCGGGCAGTGGTGCAGAGGGGGACATCTGAGGGGTCAGCCGCAAGATTCAGTGCCGAGCAGGCATGCCCCACACTGCCTGCTCTTCTGGCTGCCTCTGGGTTCTGTGGGTGCAGGGCGGCGAGGCAGCCTGAGGATGGGGTCTGGCCCAGCCCTAGCTGGGGCAAAGCTGTGGGTTCCTGTGGGCCTCGGGCCTGGGGTGGGCCCAGGCAGGTCAGCCAGGCCGGCTTTGCTGACCCTGGGTCCTCAGCCAAGCCAGCTGGGGTGTGCTGTAGGGTGCTTAGATGGGGGGTTCTCGATGCATTGGGGCTCATGCTGAGGGTGCCAGCATGGCCACTTCAGGTCCAGATTATTTGCAGCCAGGGGCGTGTTCTGCCCTGGCGACCAGGAGCCCCATGGGTGAGGAGGACTTCCCAGGAACTCCAGCGAGGGCCGTAACACGGCAAGGGCCTGTACCGCCTGCATCTGGCCTCTGTCCTTTCTAGGTTCAGCAGGCCCAGTTCACCCACTGGTCGACCCCCTGACTGCTGGCCCCCACCTGGCTCGCTTCCCCTACCCTCCTGGCACCCTTCCCAACCCTCTACTTGGACAGCCCCCTCACGAGCATGAGATGCTGCGCCATCCGGTTTTCGGTGAGAGCTCCCACGTGGGGTTCAGGTGTCACGGGAGAGCTGGGTTGCCCCCATTCATTCACTGGGTTGAGTGTTGAGTTGACTTGGGCTTCCCCACTGTGTGCAGGCATCAGTGTAGGCAGGAGGCATTCCCCTCCCAGAGGCTAACCAGGAGTGGGGTCATCGCCACATGACGGCATAGCTTCCAGCTCTGCTGAGAGCCAGGACCGCAGGCCCATGAGGAGTCACCAAGGGCCCTAATGTAGCTGGGGGCCTGGGGAGGGCGTCTCTGAGGAGAAGCACTTGGGCTTAGGCCTGGAGCATGAGGGGCCACAGTTGCACTCCTGGACCTTCCTGTGCCGCCCTTGTCCTGGCCGGTCCCCTGGCTGTTTCTGTAGCAGAGACTGTCTTGTGTCTGGCAGGCACCCCCTACCCCCGAGACCTGCCTGGGGCTATCCCACCCCCCATGTCGGCGGCCCACCAGCTGCAGGCCATGCATGCCCAGTCGGCCGAGCTGCAGAGACTGGCCATGGAGCAACAGTGGCTGCACGGACACCCCCACATGCATGGCGGCCACCTACCAAGTCAGGAAGATTATTACAGGTGAGGTGGAAGGGAAGGGCTGGGTCAGAGCCCAGGCTCCCTCCCCCCACATGGGCCCACAGGGCTTTTCCCCCTAGGCTCTGCCAGGCCCTGTAGGGGACTGCATCTAGCCACCTTGATGGGAAGGCACGGGTAGTTCAGCTGTGCGGGAGGTGTGACTGGCAGGAGGTGTTGCTGGAAGGCGTCAGGGCCCTCCTGCCACCTACCTGTCGCCTTTGGGGAGCTGCACCCTTCCTGGTCCACTGCCCAGGCCTGATGCACAATGTTCTTTTCTTTTTTTCCTTTTCAGTCGACTGAAGAAAGAAGGTGACAAGCAGTTATAAGTTATTTATTTGTTAACGCTGGCTGTGGAAACCCCAATTCTTGGGGGGAGAAACAGGACTTTTTACACACAATAGGAGCTGCAAAAAGCAAAAAGAATATCTTCTAAAGGTTTCTTTATATATTTAAAAGCCCCACAACTAAAAATGTATCCGCATAATAGTGTTCGTTTGTCAAGAGGATTTCCTGAGACTGGTTTGGGTCTCCCTGCATGACAGTCCCCCAGAAACTTAGTGAGTCCTGGACTGGACTGAACATTCAGAAAGCTTCCCTGCAATCTTGGGGTTTGGCTTTAGTTTTCCTTCCCCGACGTCTCAGTAGGTGCTAGACTCCAGTCCACACCCGTCACTGTGCGTGCAGACACACCGGGCTGCGTGTGCTCCAGAACACACAAGGTTTGCAGATAGGCGGCATGAGTTTGGAATCCAAGAGCTATAATTTTTAAAAAATCTTTTATTTTAATACATTGTAGGAAATCTTCATAATTTGAGAAAGTTCTGCAGCATGGCTTTTTACGTCTGTAAATAAATACTTTTAGAACAGTCTTTTTTTTTCCTTCCACAAACTACTATTCTGATCTATTTTTTCCAGCCATGTCACTAATTGTGAATTCCTACCAGCTATTGACAGAATACAGAGTTGATTTTTTAATAAAAAGTTATATATAATTATCCCTTTAATTAAAGGGAGCAGATGGGCGTTACTAATTACAGATGGGCAGAAGCTTGGGACTAGGCTTGGTCACAGCAGTGAGCATCCAGGGGTTTGCAGGGACAATGTGACAGACTCTTTGTTTTGCTGCTTTGATTTCCACTTCTGTCTGTTCCTAGCACGGCTCTGCCAGCGGCGCAGACATCTGTTAGGTCACACTTCTTTCGTTTTGCACAAGGAGTGCAGGGGTTAAGTGTCCCCTTTCTTTTCCCGTGTCACCCTTCTGTTTCTGCGGGATAGAAAGCACATGTTTATGTGTGTCTGATTGTAGATTTCCTCGTAGATTTCTATGCACACACATTTGATTGTTCTGGATGAATTGCCTTTTTTAATACTCTGAAAATTTCATCAGCATTCTATAACATTCAAGAAAATGATTCTGTACAGATAACTCAGCACATGAAAGACCCAGGACATATGCTTGCCAAAGGAATCTGTTAGAGGTCCACCTTCCACATGTGTCATCCTATGGCTCTTCCTGTGGTGAGGACCAGGCCTGGTCATCCTTGCCACAGACAGCGGCTGCTTTTGAGTGAGGGAGACCCTGGCGGCCACAGGGTCCTGGGTGCGGCCTGCCTTTGTGCCCCAGGAGCCGCTCTGTGGATGGTGACCCATGTCAGGCCAGGAGTCCCACTCGTCCTGGAAGTAGGAATGAGCGTCCCCCCGTGAATGTGAAGTGGGAAAGCAGGCTTGGCCTGGGAGGGCCGTGCTGCCGGAGGCTACCCTTCCCAGCAGGGCTGTCCTAGCGACGGCCTGCTTGCTCTCTAGCTTGCAGACGGAGTGCACTTCCAGAGCAGAGGGTGGGAATGCTGGGGCGTCTGCCTCTGTTGGTCAAGCTTTCTGGCTGGGTGTGACCTCTTCGAGCCTCTTGTCTCGGCCTGTTGAGGGCATTTCTGCCATTGTGGTGGTCACATCCAAGAATAGAATTTACAAAAAGAGACCGCACTGTGGGTCAGCAGACACTAAGTGTGACCAGGACCCAGGCTGCATAGGGGGCAGGAAGAGAGGCTGATCGTTTGATCCAGAAACCAGAAGATACTGGCTCAGATTTAGGTTCTGGTCTCCAACGTGCATCAGGGGCATTTCCAGTTTCTGTTAAAACCACGTTTGGTTTCAGTTGGGATAGGATCCTTTTGTCTATTGACAGCGCTTGTAGTTTGTTCTTTCATTTTCTCTCATTCCATTTCTGCCTTAGCATTAGTTACTTAGAGAGGAGGCGAGCTCAGATGAACCCTTTGCCATCAGACCTCTGCCGCCTTGGCACAGGGCATTTGCTTTCTTTGGGGAGCTGACGTGCTGTCCAGTCAGGCTTGTCCTCGGGGCACCCTGGGCTCTGAGGGCGGCCTCTTCCCACTGGGCTCCCAGACTCTCTCCCTTTTTTTTTTCCTTTTTGGTAGAGCACAGTGTCTACTGTTCAGTTAAACCTTCTCTATCTCCTCTCTGTCATCCATCTTTCCAAAGAAGAGAAAGAGTGAGTCCTTTGAAGTCTGTACTTGAAACTGTCCAAGGTGTCCTCCTGGTACGCTGGGTTTCTCCCCACCCTCGAGGTGAAGCACTGAGATTCTCCATTAAAAACCCACGACCTGAATGAACCCCTCGCCTGGTCAGTTGCGATTTGTGTAGGAGGCCCGGCCTTCGTGGTGTCTTGAAGCCCAACCCCTGGTTTCCTTCGGACTTTCCCTCGTTCTGTTGGCGTTTGGTTTGCTTTCCCGTGTTTTGTATGTACCTTGTTCAGTGTCGTCGAGGTTAAGCTTCACCGCGGCAGAGCAGGGCAGAGCGCACATTCTGGTCTGCTACGTTTATATATATCTTGAAGCTAAATGTATATACGAGTAGTTTGCCATGAGATAACACAGTGTAAACAGAGTAGACACCCAGAAATCGTGACTTCTGTGTTCTCTCCATTTGAGTATTTTGTAATTTTTTTGAAATATTTGTGGACATAAATAAAACCAAGCTACACTACAACCCCGGGTGTCGACGGTGCAGTGTGTCTCATTCTGGAGAGTGGATGGGACCCTGGGTGGGGGAGGGTCTGCCGTTCCCTGTTGCTGGGGACCCTGCTAACCTCCCAAAGTGGCTCCCGAAAGATCCACGTCTGCTGTGTCTGGGAAGAAGAGTCTCTCAGTGAGTTTATGGGCTCTCTGGGCATGCCCTCCAAGCGGCGGGAGGGGTCCTAAGGGGCCACTGGCATTGGACCAAGAACATCCCACACCCTTCACCCCACTCCACTGATTTATGGACGTCGCCAGAGTGTGTGAGCACGTGGCACCTTCCCTGCTTAGGAAGGTTCTGAGCCACCTGCCAGCCTCGTGGCCTCCTGCCCTAGCCGTTCTCCTGCCGTAGTCCCTCTTCCTATCTCTGGGGCTGCCAGTTCCCCGCCACCCCCACCCTCAGCTTGGAGGTTGTCCTCTGGTTGAAAATTTGTCCTGGCGGTGTGGAGGTCTGAAGGTCTGACCCCCTGGAGCACCGTTGGCGGCCTGCGAGCTGTGTACATGGCCACCAGGGGGCAGCAGCCCTCAGGATGGGTTGGTGCTGTGGTTTCCGAGGCTGTTGAGCATGTTCCCGAAGCTTCAGGCCTGTCTCTGGAAATGCATATGCTCCAGGGTGCGGCCGTGAGTTTCTGGATGTTGGGGGAGGCAGGGCAAGAGTCACCCAGTGAACTGACTTGGCACACTGCCCTTGAGCTAGGTGGGCCTGCCACGTGGCGGTGAAGGTTGCAGGGAGGCACGGGCGTCCGGACGGGGGAGTCATGCTTGCGGGCACCCGCGGCCGGTGGCCTCCAACAGCAGGGCCTGCGCGGCACCTCAGGAGACCGGGTCGTGAGGCGGGCATGCGGGCCTGCCGGGAAGGCCCAGGAGATGGTGGTTGGGTCTCGAAGGAGAGGGGCGGATGGGGCAGCTGGTGCAGCGGACAGGGCCGGGGCGGCGTCCAGCTGCCACATCTGCGGTCCCATCCAGGCGTGCTCCTCGTGAGCCCACAGTTGTGACGGAGGCTTCCAGGTGGCTTAGCTATGAGACTAAGTGGACACGTGGGCTTAAGCCACAAAGCGCCCGACTCAGCGCGGGATGGAAGTGATGGTGTCTCAGGCGTGAGCAGCTGCGGCCGTTGTTAGCACTCTGCCACGCATCCGCGCTGAGGGAGAGGGCGGGGGATGCAGACGGCGAGTGAGTGGGAGGAGACAGTGCTATCACTGGGCCCGGCATTGCTCCTGCCCAGATGACTGATTCCAGTGTGCACTTGCCCCTTGTTCCCAGGGATGCATCCTCAGCCTGGCATGGTGGCTCGGTGGCCCCGCTTGTTCCACTGCAGGTGGCTACAAAGACAGCCTCTGCAGACCGCGGGCAAGCCAGGGCCTCTGCAACGCTTGCGTGACTCTGCACGTGGCTGCCCTGTTGATAAGTGTCCTCGGTAAGTCGGGGGAGTGGTGGGTGGAGCTTATGCCATCTGGAGGGCAAGGGTGCACCATCGGGAGGCTCAGCCAGGGTCCTCTCTCAGACGTGAAGCTGCAGGCCTCCAGGCCTGAACCCATACCACCAAGCTCTGCAGCTCTGAGTGCGAGAGGCCAGTGAGGGGTCAGGGCCAGAACCCTTCTGTGTGGAAGCTGGAGGAGACAGGCGCCCTCATCTGAGCCAGGTGCCCCTCCCCAGCCTCAGCCTGACCCCACGGTGAAACCCAGGGCCGTGCAGTCAGGGTAGGAACAGACTTCAGGCATCTCTCTCGGCCTTGCGTGTCCACCCAGAAGGTCCAGATAAGTTCCTGAGCTCAGCTTTGGGTTCTGAACGGAACCAGCTACCTGGTCACCTGGGGCGAGGCTACTAGGCCTCAAGACCTGTGCGGACACAGGGACAGCGTGGTGCTTGGCCTCCCTGCCCCTGCCCGGGGAGAACTCTCCAGAACCTGTGCAGGAGCCGTGCCTTTGACTCTCTGGTGGACCTGTTCAGGCTGCAGGGTGAAGCAAGGGTTCACGGGCTCCTGACTTGGGCAGCGGAAGCGGCAGTCCCTGCAGGGAATGAATCACATGGTCCCTGGGGACTTGGGCGGCCTCCTGTGGACTCCAGCCACGGGCTTTCCCAGACCTGAGTGCCTCCCAGGTCCTATCGGGCGTCACACTGTTGGCTTTAGAGCTCTCATATCTGAGGTCCCTTCTCAGTCCATGGAGTCCGCAGCTGCCAGGGCTCAGGCAGCTGCCTGGGTCCCGGGTCTCTGCTTCTCCCACCCAAGGTCGCCAGGAGTGGCCAGTGCTTCTGTTGACCCATCAGGGACCCAGGTTGCAGAAGCTGCCCCTGTGCCCCCAGCCCAGCTCCGTGCGTGGGCACCCCGGGCCCCTACCTGCGCAACTTGTTGCTGAACCAAGCTCTGTGTGGGAGGCACTTGCTGAATGAATGAATGAATGAGTGCGTGCTTGGGCCCTGCTGAGGGAGGCTCTTTGGTGCCAGTCCACATGTGCACTGTGGGAATGACCAGAGGAAGGCCCCTTTAGCCCGATCAGGTTCCATCTGGGAGCTCCCAGGGGGCAGAGCACCTGTGGGCACCTGCCATGCCCTCTGCCACACGTCTGTGCCTGCTTGGGAGGTCCGCAGCCCTCTCCCAGCCCGACTGACGCCAGTCTTGGAAGTAGAAGAGTCGGGAGGTGAAGCCCTGCATGGTGAATTTGAGTAAAGTAAGACTTGAAAGCACTCCTGAGTTGGCCCAGGGAGAATTTGTCTTCTAATTCCCAGACCACCACCTGTCCCATCCCCCAGTCCCACTCTCCACCCCCCACACACGCTGCTGGTGCTGCTGCAGCAGAGTTCAGGCCCGTCCTGGCCGCCAGGTGGCAGTCGTTACACAGTCCCGGCACCTGCCCTCTGGGCCAGCCAGTCCAAGGTGAGACCTGTGGCCCAGGTGGCGGGGACCAGTCCAGGCCCCCGAGATAGTGGCAGGAGGTGTGCAGAGGTAACAGTGAGCGTTTCGCAGAACAGGTTTCCTGGGGGCAGGGTGTTCTGGGCCTAGAAGCGTCCCAGCCAGAGCCAGGGGTGGAAGCGGTAGGGAGGTGAGGCAGATGGCAGCAAGCAGGGTGGGCAGGGCCTGGGCGCGTGTTGGGACGAGGACAGAGGCTTTGTCTAGGGGATGGGAGGCTGCTTCTCTGTTCTCTGCTGCATCCCAATGCCAGGGATGTACACAGTAGGCACTCAGTAAGTGTCCACTGAGTGGAAGAGGAGCCCGTGATGGCTTCTCAGCAGTGGATGGTTTCGGAGAGCCAGGACTCCACTCACCACCTCCTGGCTCTGAACAGTCCCCCAGAGCGGCTGCTGCCCTGAGGCATGTCCCCAGCTCCTGGGCATCGGCCCCTTTCCTCCTCGGTGCCCTCCAGTCCTGCTCATGGCCAGCACCGAGGACGCGCCACTCCCTGCGCAGCCTCTACAGACTCACTGCAGCTCAGGGAGGACCCAGGACCTCCCAACTGCCAGGGCCCGGGCCGCTGTCGGTTCTCACACGCTCAAGGGACGTCACCTCTGCTCCCTCACATGCCTGTCGCCCACCCTGCCGAGTGCCGGGATGCCGCCCCACCACCCCTGTGTCCCCAGAGCGGTCCCGGGTTCAGCAGCCTGGGAAGGTGGAAACAGAACTGATGCAGCTGTGACTTCACGACTGCACGTCGCGTCTGTTCTGAAGGCCGAGGACCACTCAAAGGCTTCGGGAGGGTTTGAGGAGCATTGAGCGAAGCTGAGTTTCAAGTTGGCGGAGGGAAAGTCGGGCGAGGGAGGGAAAGTCGCCCCATTTTGACGGCGTGGTTTCTGTTTTGTCTTATTGGCCGCGGAAAGGCGTGTGGTGGGCACCCGGCGAGGGCGCCAGAGGCCATCCCCCTCCCCCTCCCACAGCCGAACTCCCTGGGAGCAAGTCCAAGGCCAGCCGCATGGGGCAGGGCTCAGCCGCGCAGCCGCACTGGGGCCGGGCTGAGGGGACGGAAGCCACCCACTCCCGGGAGCTTGCAGGCTCCCATCTGCCTCCAAGGAGCTTGGCCTCCCTGGGTTCAAGCCCCAGCCCTGGCAGGCACAAGCCATGATCCGTGGTGACCTGGGTACTTGAAGTGGGGTTATGATGCCTCACTCCCAGTGAGGTCCGGGGGCGGGGCAAGCCTGCAGGGCCCCTTTGAGGACCCGGGAGCACCGTTCCCGCGGTGGCAGTAGGCTTGTCCTGACGAGGGACTACCCTCCCAGGCGTGGTTCCTGTGGTGCTCGGCGCGCTGTGGTTGCTCCCACTGCCGTCTGCTGGGAACAGACCTGAAGGTCCAGGACAGCTCTTTGGAGCTGACCCGAGGGCCGTCCCAGGCTCTCCCACCCACTGTCCCTGCACGTGCCTGGGCGGGGCCGATTATCAGAACGGGGCTGACAACAACCCTTCCCGCGTGTGAAGTGAGCCTTGTTTACTCAGAGTCCTAGGAAGAGAGCCCAGGCCTTGACAGGCCAAGAGCCCGGGGAGCCTCCCTGGCCCCCATCTCCTGCAAACTAGGCCAGTGCTAGGCAAAGACAGCCCCACCCAGAGGACAGCCTCCGACACCACATTTTCTTTTTTTTTTCTTTTTTTTGAGTTGGAGTCTCACTCTGTCGCCCAGACTGGAGTGCAGTGCGGCCACCGCAGCCTCGACCTGCTGGGCTCCGGCGATCCTTCCAGCCTCAGCCTTCCGAGTAGCTGGAACTACAGGCGTGCGCTACCACACCCGGCTAATTTTTTATTTTATTGTAGATATGAGGTCTCCCCAAGTTGCCCTGGCGAGTCTCGAACTAGGGAGCTCTTCTAAGCAACACAAATGTGGAAGGATGAGTCTGCAGTTCTAGAAAAAGCACAGAGGCCCAAAAGAGCTGTGTGACTTTGAAAAGTCCCCAAACTTTTCTATGCTTTGCACACACGTAAATCAGACAAAAAAAACAACATTACAGGGAAAGGATCATTCATTCTAACCAATGTGGGCTGCACAGAGGAGGTGACGTTTTAGACAGATTGAAATGGTTGAATCAGATATTGGTGGGCAGAGAAGGGGTGGCCTTGGCCTGCGGAAACAGTCTAAACCCAAAGTGTCTGCGGCCCACGAGGACCCTGTGGCTGCGCTGCAGGAGACTGGGCCGTGTGGAGGGTAGCGGGGCGTTAAGATGAGCTGGGCCCAGCTTGGGTGTGAAGGTGGCCAGGATGCAGACAGGAGTCCTGGGCCAGGGCAGGGGCACAGGGAAGAGCCGCCTGGGTGCCCCATGACCCCATAGGCACCACCATGGTTCCAGGTGAGTAGCAGGAAAGGGCACCGAGGAAGAGGCTGGGGGAGGCTGTGGCCCAGGTGTGGAGGCTGTGGGGAGGTCAGGGCTCAGGTGGAAAGGTCACAGCCAAGGTCAAGGTGGGGAGGCTGTGGACAGGGAGGAGTTGGTCACATGCCCTGCAAGGTGTCATGGTCTTTCTGCCTGCCCGGCCCTAGCTGGTCACAGCAAGATAAGGGACACTGCCATAAGCCCCAGCCTCCCCTCAGAGGCTGGTAGCAGCTCCCAGGACCCCTGTTCTTTGTTTTGGACTTGAGGTCAGGGACATCTTGTGTCCTCAAAACATATGTTCCATGCACTGAGGAGACTGGAGGCTGCACAGGCCCTGGCCAGGCCAAGTTCTAGTGTGTCAAGGACAGCAGTGACCCAGCCACACCTCTCCCTCATGCCCTGTAGTCATTGCGCAGAAGAACCCTCACAGTTATCTGGAAGGGACCTCAAGGTGTTGAGTGACAGCCAAAGATCAGAGGTCAGTTGGCGAGGGACAGTCACATGAGACCCGAGCTGTGTCCAGTCTCGTCAACAGGCACCGGCAGGTAGCAGGCACAGACCTGCGGAGCCCGGGCCCGGCGTGGAATCAGCACGCAGTGGGCCCAGGCATCCACCCATGAAATGATGCCTGGATGGAGGGGAAGAATGGCCCGAATCTCGCCCTCCGGCCCCATCCCTGCCCGCGGTCCGAGGGCAGGAGGGGCACTGACCGGGCACATCTGCTCCAGCCTCCTTGCTTTCAGGGCAGTTTACAGCCCAAGCCTCCTGGTCCCTGGGCTCCCTTGGACACAGCAAGCAGCTCCACCTCTCTTCATCAAGGCGTCGCTCGCAAGACATCTCGCCAGGGAGGTTCTTTCACTCTGCCCGCTTCCCTGCTTGGGCTGCACAGACCGCACCATCTGCAGGCCGGGGCTCGGGGCTTCTGCTCGCTCCTCTCGAGTCAGTTCCATGAGGGTGGGGACCGATCGCCGCCGGACACCAGCACCTGTTGCTGCCTGCCACGCCCAGGGCCCTCACTAGATGCCTGGGGCGGACAGGTTGGCTGGGTGGATGGATGGCCGGTGGATGGGTGGTGAGTGGGAGGATGGGTGGGCATGTGGATGGATGCATAAGTGGAGGGGTGGACATGCGGGTGAGCGGGTGAGTGGGTGGGTGGATGGATGGACGGAC